ATACTCTTTCTGTAAATGCTGAAGTGGCCGGAACGGATAGCAAAAGTGACACTACTTTGAACAGATTTGGGAAATCAGGTTGTTCCGTAAATATGGCTTGCCATTTTTCTGTGCAATATTATTGATGTAAAAATACTCTGAATTTCGAATAATCGCTTACACAATTACGATGTTTACTTAAGGCCTTAAATAAAGTATCTTTGCGTACTTTATGTGTCTTGTAAAGTATAACGTACGCACAGTTGAAATAGAGTACAATACTTTACGATAAAGTACGGGTGGCAACCCTAAGTATATCCATCTTGTCTTGTATTGGAAACGATGACAATATCAAGAAAAGGATGCTGAAAAACCGCTTCTCAAGATTTCGAGAATATTCATTGTTCTCGAGTTATAATGCTATTAGCAATACAAAAACAAAACTGAGCATAATGCAATTAAAATATAGGTATATAAAAGTAAATAAACATATACATATTTAATAATTAATTTATTCGTATACCTACCCAATATTAATATTATTATAACATTTTTTATATTTTAATATTATTTCTATGACGAATCTAGAGGATTGGACAACTTCGCGGTGTTGTAGAAAACTGAAATATGCAAACCGCAAAGACAAAACGAGACATTGACTTCCGTTGTAGAAAAGTCGATGATATATGAAAATGATTGTAAAGATTATAGTAAGAAGTACATTGGATAAACTAAACGCTCTGTACCTGTTAGATTCAAAGAGCATTTATCTTATGTCAGTGTTGCCCAACATATTCTTATTGAAAATCATAGGACCAATATCGATAATTTTAAATTAATTAAAGAAATTAGAAGCAATTATTTGTTTGACAGTTTTGAAAGTACCTATGTCTACCTTACCTATTAAGCTATCTTAACAGGAACAAGGATGTTATCGCTAATTCTCCAGTATTTAGTCTAATTGAAATGCCTTGTTTTTGTCTTGGAACTTCTACAGTTACAGTTGACATATCGAGTTAGGCTCACTGAACTATTAGATCTGTTAAAATTTATTCATAATGTTTACCTTACCTTTAGTCTTTAGTTTTATTCAGTCGATGAAGAAGATAACTTTGCTACTGAAAAATACTTCGGACTTTCATTGTCATATTTTGAGGTTTGTGCTTTTTATTATTTTCGTCTAAAATTTTGATATTTTAGATATTTTTTGAGACATTTAAAAAAATGTCTATACCTATCACATATAAAAATAAGACGAAACTCGATTTTTCGTTATTTTTTGACAAAAGGAACGATATTTGTGTTTCATAACTGCAATTTTCACAAATAAAAAAGTATGCTTTTAAATAAAGAAACCATTTACTTATTAAAAATATTTCCTGAGTTTTTTACCTTGGAGAAAATTTCTAATTCCAAGAAACTAACTAATTTTGTCTTCGACTCTCATCTTCTTGAGTCATTTGCTTAGTAAGAAAACAAATAAAAGAAAAAACAATGTAAAGTCGAAATTACGTATGTAAACTTTACCTTGTCTTATCACCCTCGCGTGAATCTTAAGGACGGTTGTCAATAGTAACGCTTTTCTGAGCAGCTCCCCTTTGCAATGCATATCAAGTGTTTTGTTTACACCGTTAACATTCACATCTCTATTCAACGTGGAACGTTTCGCGTAGTCTCCGCTAGTATCCGGCTTGCTACCATCATCGTTAATCTCAAGTCTTTCTTAACGTTCACTTCATAAACCGGAACCAGTCCAAACTGATCGGAAGTTATAAAGAAACGTCCGCAACGAAAATGGAAGAGAACTTTAATTGATATTTTTGAAACTGAGAAAATTTTAAGAGTGGGAAATAATTTGAGCGCAAATTTTATCGCACGGTATCAACGATTCGCAGTAACTCGCGTCGCGCAGGAGTTGAAATGATTCTGACGGAGCCAAAGGGTTGCTCTCGTACTTATAAGGGTAGTCGAGGAAACAGCTGATCATTTTTAGAACGCGCATGGCACACAAGTAATTTTTTTCAAGCTTTTTAATGCTGGAACGGATTTAAAGGAAATTAGTTGTATCACAAAACCAGGTTCTCAAAATGTGAGGGATACATGTCAGAAGAACAGTGTTTATTTAATACGAAGGAAAGGAACTGAAATTACCACAAAAAATCTTCTACAAATTATAAACAAATTTGTCCTTTTAATTGTATTCAANCATGCGAAGTATACTTGGAGAAAAAGGGTATCCAACATCGCTTAATAGTATGATACGAGATGCTAGCTCCTATTCTTCCTGAGCATTAAGTAGTGGTTTTCTTTCCAATTAAAATTTTTCATATTTTTTATCTATCAGACATCTTCCGAGAGTTCTTCTAGGAAGCAACAGAAAATCCCAATTGGTGGCCATATTTTCAGTCGCCTTTTATATTGTTATATTTACCATAACCTAAGATACTAAAATAAATAAGTTAAAAAATATACATGGGTATTTCATCTACGGTTGCTAATAGCTAAATTAAAATAAATGCTTTTCACTAAAGTCTAATTGTAATATGAAAAATTCATAAAAACTTACGATTGAAAATTTATAACAGCGACACACTTTTCCGTTGAACTGATAATGGCGGACTGGCGGGAACGCAGGGCGAATTGCAACTACCCTATTTCATTATGTTTACATACACTATCTAACACGAATACTTACTGACGTCAAATCAGTGGTATGTTTTTAAGGAAAGGGATATGGCCATATTTTCCGGCTGGCCATATTCGACCCAGGTACCTTACTACAGTATTGTACACCTTAAAAAGGTCTACAAAAAAGTCCGCGATGGTATATGTTTACCTCTTTTTAAGCAATACAGCATTAATCCTTATCTAATTAAGTACTTTTAAATACATTGTGCATTTAATATAGATCAATATGGCCCTTTACAGCATGTAATTTAAAGGAATATTTTCGAAGATATAACAGACTTAAAATGCAGGGACATAGCGGTTGCGGCGGTACCGGCCGGTTTGTATTGTCTAATGACAAAAACCTATGAATGTTGTATATAAAGACATTTTGTAGTATATTTAGTATTAGCATTGCACCCGTGCGAATCATAGTGTACAAATAATACCATTAAACCAATTCCTTAACCCCTATCGCGGTATGTTTGTGTGTTTGAAGAAGTTTCACTTCAGTAGCGTGTGTTGTATAATTACACGTTGTATTTTTTTTATTCTTGACTCTTTTTAGATCTAGTTTGTTTCTATCTCTAGTCTTCTAGATTAACACAACGTCATTTTTTTATTTAGCTGTTTATTCAAAATGGTTTGAAATGAGCATACTCCTATATGCGAGGTTAAACAAGGAAAAACTATTTATATAAAAAGTTCAGAGAAATGACCGAACGAGATTACGTGTCAGACTTTTTCTTGGGTCACGCAATTTCATGCTTTTGGGCAAAAGTAGGTTGATATCTAATTTCATTAGATGTGTCCGTCACAATAAAATTGATACAATGAGAATGTACCTATACTGACGCCCAAACCTCCATTTAATTAAATTCAGAATTTAAGACGTGTTTCGACGCTTAATGTGTCATCCTCAGTTATAGAGATTAAAGTAAATGAAGGTGTAGTTGTTGCTTATAGATTTTGAACACCTGCGTCTTTATTCTACCTACATATTTTGATGCATTGCAGTAGTCTGACGCCCCCACCAAATAAGAAATTATACTTTAATATACCTGTAAATATACTTATTTCCTGTTTTTTATTCTTCAAAAAAATGTGAGTAATACAAATGATATAATATTGTATGTTTTTCACATTTCTCTTTGCTGCTTCTTAAATACTGCTAAAAAGTTCAATAACGACAATGGAAATGTAAGACAAAATGGGTTAGAGTAACTGCAGGTAGGTAATATGCTTTTGCTGTGTTTAAGACTGTCGCAAGCTTCGAGAGTATATCTAGGGTTGCCACCTTTTCAGGCTTTACATAAAGTATTTCCCGACTAAAAGGTTAAAAAAAAAGTACTCAGCATAAAAATCAAGTATTTTATTTTTTGTTTTTAAAAACATATTTTTTGTTACACCTAGCAGCCAGTAACAAATTGCTGTCGCTCTTAAATACATTAATAGCCTCTAAACATGGCAAACAAAGATTTAAGTAAACTAAAAGTT